TTTAAGTGTGGGGAGGCTGGGGATGGGCAGGGGATGGGGCCAGGCAAGGTAAGGTAGCCATGGGGGCTTCTCCCACAGCTCCTCTTCTATACAATGAGTATTACTGCAGACCATAATTCTTCACACTCTCATAAGATACTGTAACAATGAAGAAACAGTTGCTACTTTATAAAATCATAAGATTTTCTACATATACTAAAACTACTCAGCAGAAAGGTTTTAATTATTTGGAGCTGTTGTTATTCTTTTTAACTTAAGGCATCTACACTTAAAATTCTACTCATTCTTATATATACAGCTCTGCAGTTTCAGAAGAGACTAGTGATTTTAGCTGCCTCATTTTGAGGGTTGCCAACAAGAGGTGGCCTTAAATGGATTTGTTTTCGGAGTGCATGTACTCAGCACTTTCTGAAAGATAAGTTCCTCAAGGTGTGTCTCATGTCATGATACATATCTAAAAACCAAGGCACCTTAATTCAGTATTCTCTTGTGAAAATTTACGCCATACTTCCTCTCACATCAGATGTGCTTACTTTAAAAATATATTTAAAAGAAAATTCTTCAGGGAAAAAGCGACACTGAGCCCCAGGTAGTCTTTGCTAGTATTACTTTTTTAGTGCATTTTGAATGTGTAATTCGGAAATGTCAGTGTTCAGACATCTTTTTGGAAACTCACTATAAATGTAGGGTTTGCTTAGTGTCCTGCAGTAGTTGCCAGTATTGGATGCTTTACAGGAATATGGAAATAATGTGCTATGTCCAGTTTTGGTTATCATGGAGCTGATTATAAATCCCCAATTCTCTGGCTGGCTCAGCACCGAAGTGCGGGCAGTGAGTCATCTTCTGTCACTTCTGATGGGGTTCCACAACTTCTGTGTTGTGCAAAAATCAGCTATTTAAAAGAAATATGACGTGCTGGTAGTTTTATTTTGTAGGACTCCCTTCCACTAGATACCATGAAAGCCCAGAGCTTAATGGAGTTAAAAAAAAAAATAAAAAAAAAAAAGATTAGGTGTATATACAGACAAAGATATTCATAGATCATCCACTCCTACATTACACAGGGTAAAATATATGTTGTCGTCGATGCACGTTCCTCATTGAATAAGCCACCAATCTGCTCCATGACATTAGGAACAAGCCACCTATCTTGGCTATGTTACTTGCTAATGTGAGAGGAACAGAATACTGAGCTAGGAGGGCCCATTCATCTTTTCTGGCATGATGATTCCTACATTCCCAAGTGGAAGTGCTGTGGCTAATATATAGAACTCTTGTCTTAAGACATTTTAATTTGAATTCTAAGTTTTCACTGACCTATCTTCAAAAGATCCCCCCCCGCAATATGTAAATAGTGATGTTAGCAAATTAGTGTAGATACAGTTTAAGCAGGGCATGGACTAGATGACCTCTCAAGAAGTCCTCTTCCAGTCATATCTTCTATGATTCTGTGTTCACACAGATCAACATGTATGAAAAAGAAAAATGGGTCTATACCAAGCCATTATTTAATGTTGACTAATCAAGGTTATTGAATTTAAACATTCCTGTCATGGTTTCTTTCATCCAAAAAAAAAAATCACTGTTTCCTACAGAGCCCCCAAACCATAAATTCTTCTTTGAAGTATACTTTGCATCATCAGGTTTTGGAGAGGTAAATCATATTCACCTATGGCAAGTCATTTTGCATCCACTTAATGCCCTGGGGACGTATCTTTAGCTGATGTAAAATGTCATAGCTCCACTAAAGTTAACATAGTTCAGTACAGCTTTGGCAATTTAACAACAGCTGAAAATCGTCACTGTAGTTCATAGAGATGCATATACATGGGTCAGCTAATGCAGCTATACAGAAATACATTATTTCACAGGGCACTACATACAGCTTAGAATGGAGTTATGAGAATGTGGAGGAGATCAGAAGCATTAATACTGTGCATACATTATTCAGTTATTTATTTATCATTTCCCTCCCCCACAATTCCAGGATGAGAGAAAAACAGAGCCTTGTAAGACGTCATAATTCACGAGTCAGATCTGACCAAAATAACCTCCTGCAGTGTCTGTGGGGTGCAAAACATTTTGGAAGCAGCTTTGTAACATGATTATCTTTCCCAGAACAAAATCAGTATTGCAGGGGATTGTTTCAAAGTGTCCCTAACCCTTATTCCATTGGTTTATGCTTAGATCATCCTTTCACTTTCACTTGTTTCTACTTCAGGCCTTTCACTGATTCTTAGTATAAGCAGCAACACTCCTCAAGCTAGAAAAAAAGCAATGCCCTACTCTTGAGGGGATCTAGGATTTTGAAAAGTGGGGTGCAGATGGTATAGTGCATCATCCCATAAAACACATATTTCTTCCCCTCTCTCCCGCATGGATCTGCCCCTGGCCCTATTCCATCTATGCCTCCTGAATGTTCTTTATGTGAATAGGCAGACAAGGTTCTTTGGGTAAATCTGATATCTTTTATTAGACCAACTAAATAGTTGGATTTTTTTTTTTTTTCTTAGCAAGCTTTTGGGTTTAAAAACCCTTCGTCAGGCTAAGGAAGCATCTGCAGTTGGTGTGTGCTCTTCCTGGAATATAGACTCTTTCTGGAAGAGCGCACACCAACTGCAGATGCTTCCTCAGCCTGATGAACTGTTTTTAAACCCAAAAGTTTGCTAAGAATTTTTTTCCCCAACTATTTAATTGGTCTAATAAAAGATATCAGAGTTACCCAAAGAACCTTGTCTGCCTATGTCCTTAGACCAATACGGCTACAACCTGCACCCCTGCTTTATGTGAATATGCTCCCATACAGAACATGTTTGATTCTCAGCAGACTAGCATTCTTCATATCAAAATAAGCCTCCAGATTTTCTTACCTGTTGAGTTAGTTTTGTTGGCAAGGACAGAATAAAGGTACATCCAAGTGTATGCTGAGTGAGGCAGATGACTGGCGGTAGGAAAGAGCATGTGGATCAGGAAAAAATGATGCTCTTTTGCTGCTGCCGGACTGAGAAGCCAGATGGAACAGGATCCATTGCTACAAGGGTTTGGCTTCCCTTGTGGAGGCTTGTCATGGCTGGAGCAGGAGTGACCTTATATTTGCTGTCCTTAGGTGATTATTCAAGAGCTCCAGTCTCAGTGATTCTCTGCTGGGGCTGAAGGGGCCATTGAGTTCCTCAATGGAGAGAACAGTCATTTTTGGGGCTGAAGGGCTGTTTCCCATGTACCTTCAGGAAATATCTAGGAGAGAGATGATCAGTTCCCAGTCTTCCTGTTCCTGGAAAAAAAATGGCACAGTGCTTAAATTATGAGTGGCATTGCTGCCTGAAGTAAGCCCTGGGCATGACTCGGCAGCAGCCTACTGCAGTCAGCCCCAGCAGTACCTCAGTGATAGGTGCAGTGTTTTTTCCCTGCCTGATCCATTAGCATTCCTTCTTTTCTAGCATGAAGAGTCTTGCTGCTTATCCTGAGAATGAGTGAGAGGCCTGTAGGTAGGAGCAATCCTTTACCATCAAGGACCTGACTCGAAGCAGATGAGCTGCACCCCTGAGAATGTAATAAGGACACACCCTGCTTTCTGCACAGGACTGCAGAACTGCAGCTCAGGGGAGCTTTTCCTTCCACCATTTTCCAGCTCTAGAGCTGGGGGGGGACCTCACTGCTGTGCCTCATTATTCCAAACCTTGGAAAGGACCCAGTCACAGTATTTTACTACCAACTTCACTCTATTGCTGTGAACTTGAAAGGATTTTCCCAAGTAATGATTTATTTTTAGAATAGGAATTAAAATACATGAACAGGAGGAGGAGGAGCTGGGTGCCTAGAGGAGCAGGTAGGCTGTGTAATGATAAGACACTGTCCTGCCACAGTGACTCCAAGGTGACCCAGCCCCCTCGTACTGAGGAGAGATTTGAACTTACCTTTTGGTCTTCTTGTGAGGGGGGAGCTGAAGAAGTGGAAAGGATAGACAGATTATCAACAGAACCTTTCACATTCTCATGAATGAATCATCTTGGTTACCTACGTTTCCTATTAAATAAGAATTAAAGTAGCCCTTTCATGGGGCAGAGCATTAAGTCTGAAGATTAAATTAAGCTACTAAATCTAAAAGAAAGTATGGGGCAGAGACGATAAAAACCAAACAAATATAAGTTAACATTAGATACACTGGAGAAAATGGGGGAGGGGAGGAGAGCAGAACAACTATTGGGATGGGACTAGCAAACTAAACTAGCTGATAACAAGGACTTGGGCACAGCCAAAGGAAAGCTGATAATTTGAGTGGCAGTCCTATTTAGAGAGGGAGAGCAGGGAAGAGCCTGCCAAATGATTCTTGACAAGTCCAGAGATATAAATATGAGAATGCAACTGGCAAGGAAAAGCCAAGAAGCTGAAGAAAGAATGCAGTCTTATGGAACACGGCCATCCAGTGCAGATGATTCACAGCTAGACCTGGGTAGGCCAGAGCCCACTGTTCTATTTTTTATATCTGGGATCCAATATTTCCACATCAGCCTTGGTTGAAGAAGCCCTGCACAGTGCATAAGTTGGTTGCATGCCCAGAGGAAGCTCTGTAGGGGTAAATGTAAAGTTAAACATTAGGGGTAGTCCTTCCTTGTGAATCTGAAACTCCGTTCAGGAATGCTCATTTTATTCCATGCAAAAAGCACAGAGATGGTTAGTTGTGTTAGTCTGAAGTCAGGCAGAAGGTAGGTCAGGGTGGCACCTTTGAGTCTAAATGGTTCAGAGAGGCATGACCTTTCATAGGCAATGACTTATGGCTGCAGTCATCTGAAGAAGTAAATTGTTTCCTACAAAAGTTTATGCTTCTGAACCAGTAAGTTCCCAAGGTGCCACCCTTCCCTACCTTCTGCCATTCTATGCATATAAAAATGGGGTGGGTTATGGGTAAATAATGGGTAACCTCAGAGACATGTATTTAAGTCTTTTCCTCATGAAAGAGGCACTTAGCTGCCTCTCAAGCCTTACTAGATAGGAAAATCCTGGCAGTCCACACAATGGTATTCCTAATAATGCACAATCAGGTACTCATGTCCAGGGGTGGATCCAGTATTTCCTAAAAGGGGGTGTGGAAGCAGCACCCCACATTGCAGGCATATCTGCACCACCATGCTCCCAGCATCCTCCTCCTTACCAGTACTGACACTGTGGAATCGTCCAGGGACTTATTCTAAGTCTCTAAAGCAAATTAAAATTTCCTTTCCCTTTCCTGCATGGAGGTCCATCTCCTCCCCTGCTCTTCCGCCCCCCCCACGTGCTGCTGTGGCTTTCCCCACCATATCAGGGGAAGATGGGCTGTGCAGGGGCTGAGCTCAGCTGGGGACAGGGACCAGAGAGAGACAGTGGGGTTTCCCCTTCCTGTGACTGCTCTAGGGGGACTGGGGAGGGACGTGAAACTACTCTCCCATTGTGCTGTTGCTGCTCTCCCCACCCCACTTTGAATCCAGTCTCCATGCAGCCCAGCTCATGTGGACAGAAGTGGTTCTGGAGCTTCCCCTGCTCCTGGGACAATAGGGAAAGCAGCAATGGCAGATTGGCCAGAGGGACATGGGGAGGGGGTGGGTCTCTGAGCACCAAGGGAAAGGGAGGGGTTCACCTGCTTTAGGGACTTAAAATAAGTTTTTGGAGGCTCTCATGGTGTGGTCCAATCCAAAAGGATTGGGTTTCCACTGGAACCCTTCTAGATCCACCCCTGTCCATGTCTTCTGTGGTCTTCTTCATCACTTCTTACCTTGAACATGTGCATCCAGCATGCCATATCTGTTTTGTGCAGTCCACCATATGGCACTATCAGAAGCCTTCATTCATAGTCAGAGTATTTCCTGATCCCAGTACCAGAACCAATGCATTGTGCCTTACTGGGTGGCATCTATGCATGTGCTTCACTGAGAAATGGACTAATTAGATCCTCAGTAGAGCATGACCACCTACACATGCGCTGGTATTAGGACACAATAAATTAACTCCACTGTATGATGGTACTGTCCCTGACAGTACTATCTTACAGCAGAGTACTTGCATGCACTGAAACACAAGTGTAGACAGTGATGGGGGTGGGCTGGGGCACAAGGGTGCTGAAGTGCAGGGGCTGCCTTCTGCCTAACCCTGCACTTCAGCAACCTCGTGTCCCAGCCAGCCCCTCCACCGCTCGACGCTGCCATCTGGAACCTGGGGCTGACCCCCCAGGTCTCCTGCCAGCCTGGGCCTGCTTGGTTTTGGCTCAAAGTGCCGTGCCTGGGTGCAGTTAACTCTGGCATGAATTGCACCAGAGTTTATTGCTCCACCTTAATGGCACATGAAGATGCCCACAGTGAGAAGTATTTATTTTTGGGAGAAACACTTTCAATTTCTACTTTTGCTGTTTAATCTAAAAATACGTCAGGCAGCAACCAGAGCTTTAAATCCCACCAGTGCAGTGACAGCACAGAAGGGGCTAGTCCAACTGGGTGCATCTACATGAGACGCTTACTGCAGAGTTGACTAATTAGCTCCGCAGTAAAGCATCACCATCTACATAAGCGGTGCTATTAGGCCCAAGTAAACTAATTAAGTCCACCATAGGACAGCACTGCCCAACACAAGTACTATTCTATGGTAGAGTGTAACAAGGTGCCATCACCAGGGCATTTGAAAATGCCTGGATGCACCTCAGAGTCCTTTTCTCTTATTTCAATTTCCTTCTGGAAACAGACTCCCCTTTACTCATCTGTCATGACTTGTTGTTACCTTGAGTGCTTAAAAAGGGAAGCTGCCCCAGGGCTTGTCAGACCCATTCTTGGCTCTCAAACACCGGGAAGTGATGAGTTCCTGCCTTAAAGGCTATTTGAACTACTCCAACCTTCCCTTATCATGCCCCATGCCTCACAGGTGTTGTCTGCATCTTCTGCACATTTTGTTGGGGGCCTCAGCTAATGCAGCTTCTGCCCCTTTTATGTAGCTAAGCCTTCCAGCTCAGACCCACTATGCTGGGCCTGGGTTTGAGACACTAACTTCAATCAATCTGTTTTGGGCCCCTGGCCCTGTACAGCTGTGCCCCCTGTGGCACCAGGCTCTTTGGTCCCCTGTAGTTGCTCTCCTGTGGGTGCTAATGAGGTCTCCACCTCCCCTACAGCCTCTGCCACAAACCACCGGACTAAACTACTACATAAATAGTAAGTCCCTGGGCTATAACAAAGAAAAGTGAATGGAGGCAGTTAGCCTTCTTACCTATGGGCTCCACATGTCTGAGTCCCCACTGCCAGTTCCTCTCACTTGTAGGGCTGCTTCAACTTTGCTTGGAGCCTTTCAGAGTCTACCCTCTGTCTCAGCCTGGGCTCCTCTGGCTAGCTTAGACTAGGGCTTATATAGTTCTGGCCTGGACTCTCTCACAGACATGTGACAGCCCCAGTCAGCTGACCAGCCTGCAAGGCTTCCCCTTTAAACCCTGCTCTGCTGGCAGCCTGTGTCCTGAAGACTCAAGTCTGAAAGGGGCCGCTCTGCTTCCCAGTAACAGGGCTAAGATTTCCTGTTACATGGAATTATTTACTCTGCTGTAACATAGGTGTAGATCAGTGTTTCCCAACCTTTTTTGCCCCATGGCACACTTACCTAAATAAAAAATCACCACAGCATACTGGATGCAGGGGGGTGGGGGTGGCGCATGGCCAGCCAAATGACATTTTGAGCTGGAGCCATGTCCCCTGCCCGGCTGGAGCCATGCTCCCTGTCTGTCTGTGTTCCCAGCAGCAGCAGGCAGGGGGAGGGGGGAGGGGGGCATGGCTCC